CAGAAATATTTCAAAAGTGAAGCAACCTCAAGAAAATAATTGTTTTTCCTCTTTCCATAATTAGTTACAGGAGTACCTAATCAGCTTTCCTCGTAAGGGAGGCATTAGGGACCGTAACGATAATGACTATGTGCCCTTTGTATTTTTCTATTCAGCCTCGTGATGATAATTGAGGAGCTATTTCAAGGAAATAGTGGCTCCGGTCTAGAAAACCGAAATTAACGGCCGTGGGGATTCGCTGCGCTGACCACACGACGCACTATCCGCTGAGGTTGGCACTGACTTCGCCGACAAGCGGCAGTCGCTCGGTCGGTATAGTTAAAGAAACCATGGTAACGTGAAGTGTTCTGAAGGCTATAAAAGCGACATATGCGAGTCCAGGAATATCTACCAACCTGCCTGCCTTTTTTTTTTTACCGTTGTCGCTTCTTCAGTTCCTTGATCTTATACACAGTAAGTAGGGCTCCTTAGACGGGGGATCAGCCCGTCATAAGGTCTCTACCTGCGCACAGGGCAGCACGAACACAGAATAGACATAAACACATCCATGCCTCAAGTCAGATTGGAACTCAATATCCCAGTGTTTGAGCGGGCAAAGACAGTTCATGCCTTAACCACACGGACATTCTGATCTGCAGTCCAGACACATAGAGACTTTAAATGTAATTAACCATCATTAACCGCAAAAGCCATTCTTCAGATTGCCTCGCAGGTTTATCTGAATGTTAGAAAAGAGACGTGGGGGAAGAGTTGACTGTCTGTAGCACCCACGGAAAGCAATGGGGGTTCCCCCGATTTCAGTGCAGTTTATTGTGCACGGACCTGCGAACGTAGTCAGTTTCGTCGTCTTATCATCCATCTTTAAGCACGGTAGGTGTTACAGGACTTCAATACAGTAAGTACTCATGTTCAGGTCGTTTAGTATAATTAACGATTTTGTTCGTTAAAGCATATAAAACAACCCCTTTCTCGGTAATGTGCTTCCCAACAATAAGAACACGCCGACAGCTACAGATGACGCCAGATACTATCAACCCGAAAGACACAGCTGGTCCTTTCCATGCGCCTTGGAATCCCGCACGTCGCTGAGAAGCACGTGGAAGTCGTTAACGGCTTTTCTTTTCATTGTTGTGTTTCTCGCCGTCTTTTTCTTCCTTTATACTACAAGGCTGAGGGCTGTGCAGATACGGACTGTGATCTTCTCGCTTGTGACACCGTTTTGTCTGCCAGCTGATTACCAACGTTTCGGATAAACCTCCTACCTTCATCTTCAGTGTGCAACCTGACAGAATGGAGTAAGCATAACGGGCTAGACTTGTATTTCAGAGGTGCTCGGTTCTGATCTCCTACGGGTCAACGAATATCATTGTTTTTCCTCAGTTCAGAAACGTTTCGGGACAGTAACTCGAGTAGGCTACAAACACTTCAAAATCCCTTTAAATACGTTACTCATGTCTCGTCTTACCATTCGAAATAGGTACTGACCTCATCCTATAGTAACCTGCAGAAAAATCGTTGTAGAAGAGAAAGGAAACTGCACCATTCGAAGAATTTGGTAAACACAGCCGAATTGCGCGGCGTTATAAACCCAGAAGTTCTCTATCTCCACGTGTCAACGATGTTGGTTTGAAATTAGTTACTAATCATTGTGATAAATACATATGCTGTATATTTACTTTAGTTAACTCTGAAATCTGAAATCTGAGATCGAAATGGTTATCTTAGGTGTTATAATTCCATTTCTCTTATTCTCTGAATATTGTATGTTAATATCTGATCTCTCAGATCTATGGAAATTTCTTTCACAGGCTCATTTTATGTAACAACCCATACAATTTCAATTACTTTCAGAGAATTATCACATAAAACGAGCAACACAGTCTAGAAAACCGAAATTAATGGCCGTTGGGATTCGTTGTGCTGACCACGCGACTCCTTCTATCCGCTAATTTTGACACTAACTTCGCCGACAAGCGGCGATCGCTCGGTCGGTATAGTTCGCTTGCGGACTCAAACCACGGAGTTTATGTACCAACCAGTAATTTCCTTTCTTCTCTCGGAATATTGTTTCTCTATCGGTCAATGCAAGTCTGCTCGTGTAATTAAAATCTAATCGTACTCTAATACTGTACAATAGTTCATAAATATTGCTTTAACAGCTGTACCTAGTGCGAATGTATGGAGTAGGCCTGTGCCTCATAGTATTATCACGTGATTTAGTTACTATAGTTCGGTTTAGATTGGTAATTGGATTTATTTAACACTTACAGACCCATGACTACAAGCACTTATAACCATTTCACTAATTCGTACACTTTACAGTTCACTGGAGCACAGACGTAAGTCTTCCCAGCCTGCTGTGTCTTCGCCGGTTTTCTGGTAACGGTTTCAGATACCCGTCTGGAGGCGGGGTCGACTCTGCGAGTCGTAGAAAGCAACGAAAATTGAAGTCTCGAATCTGAAATAGTAAAATATGGTCGCGAGTCCTTAGGGATTCGGAGTATAGAGACCCGTCCTCTTGTCAGAGAGCGCACCCCACAGAAACAAGACCTAACTATCAAACGGTAATGAGTAACTGATCTTGAACCCTAGACGGGGCTCGACTCTTAAGACTTACTGACTGACTGACTGACCGGAAGGAGGAAGTGCGAAATAGAAGCTACAGAGAAGTTGAGAGTACACGGACGAGAATGAAGCGTTTCCTTAATCGGCTGAGAAGATTGAGTACAAATTGGTACAGAAGAATACAGGAGGTCGGCCTAGAGGATTAAAGTGTGATTTCAAGATTTTATTTTTGTGTAATATTTGGAGTGATCTAAAGCGCTGGTTCCTGTGTTTGAATTGCATTACCAGGAGAGGACTAGCGTATATGTGTAACAGTGAATTATAAAGTGTAAATGAGCGTTAGCGCTCAATTGCCTATATTGACTGTAATTAAGAGAGGTTGTAATCGAAGGGCCAATAAATCCAATCATCCGAACTAGAACCCATCATTTTCGTCACGCGTATCCCCCTACACGTGACAATATTGCATTTTTAGCTATGTATCCCACATCATCAAGTGACAGGAAGTTGAAGAAAACTGCATAATGAGGAACTTCATAAATTGCACTCTTCTACAAGTCTAATTAGAATGATAAGTCAAGGAGGATGAGGTGGGCAGGGCATGTAGCATGAATGGGGAGATGAGGAATGGATATAGGATATTGGTGGGAAAGACAGAAGGAAAGAGACCACTGGGAAGACCAAGGCATAGGTGGGTGAACAATATTGAAATGCATCTTAGAGAGATAAGCTGGAATGGTATGGATTGTAATGATCTGGCACAGGATATGGACCAGCGGAGGGCTCTTGTGAACACAGTAATGAATCTTCGGGTTCCATAAAATGTTTGGAGATTCCTGAGTAGCTGAAAAATGGGCGGCTTCTCAAGAAGGGCTCAGCTCCATGAGTGAGTGAGTGAGTGATTGAGTGATATCCCACATCAGCTCTGCCGCTGATTAGAATGAATTCTCTCCAGCTTCCACTCACTTCATTTACACAGTATTTGTTAGGAGAGGTGAAATTTACCGCTAATTCCACTCATATATGACCCTTAAGTAACACCCTTAAGCATATCCATTCATTTAAGTTCAAATTCCACTTCATAAACTTGTACTGTTGAGAACCGGTTAATTAGTGAGTTCAACTACAAAATCTTGTCATATTCATATACGTGTCAAAAGAGGTCTGTATAATTTCCGGACATTATTATGTCCGGGCATTAACCACACCTGCCTGACATCATCACATCCTAAAAGACAATAATATTCATATTTACATCCATGAGAACCTGCAGTCTCACATGGTACATATTTCGACTCCTGATAACTAAGAATTAAGATCTGTGAAGGCTCTGTGTTAGTCATGTTGCGTCTGTTGGGAGAAGAAAGACGAAATGCTTGGAAGTCTAAGTTTGACATCGTATCCTGCCTATTGTCGCAGGAGTATAGTCACTCTCTGGAGCGCCGATTACGGTTCCATCTAGGGTGGAAACATCCGTCGATGCCACAGAGACATCTCAAGCCATATGAAGCCAAATGCCATGTTTGAACTTCTCCCTGACTGCAACAGCTCCTGTAACTGGCCTTGAGGTTTTCTCTCCCAAGATCGTCTACGTCTGTTGTTGCCTCAGATAGACCTCACCTTGTACAACAGAAATTTACATGGTCTATAGCGTAAACTTCCTGAGGTAACAGGCGATGTATTACTTCTGTCTCTCCTGCTGTTAATGGAAAAACTTTAAAAAGAGGACTGACAAAAATCAGTAAACTACCAGGAATCGTAGTAATAAGTGTGCGCTATTTTGAATGGGGGATGCGAAGGTTAGGGTATATTCTTAACTGTAATGTTGGTACTACATGTTGAATTGGCGTTACCACGTGAGCGCCTGAGCTTGTTTTGTGTTGTTTGAAATTCTAATCACAATGAATGACCCACTTATAATGGATGTTAATCTCATTTTAATTCGTTTGTTAGTTTGAATGTTGTATTTGTTCCCCTGGAGGTAGAGGAAACCTTGTAAATATTGGAAAGGGTGGATTGTTGCGAGACTGGCGTGTCTTCAGACATCCGACATCGCACTCTTCTGCCGACAAGAAAAGGATGGAAACGGAATGAGCCCGCAGCACGTGAAAGAGACACAAGCATGCTGAAGAAGATTGAAAACAAAAGAACATGTATGCGCGTACATAAAAAAATGCTGCTCCGGGACCATGGGCGGGGGGCGGGGGAAGCTGCAACGCGCTACGTTTGACATCACAGTTGTGCTGCAAAATGATTGGACAAGAGAGGTTAAAATTTCGCTAGCGCATGCGTCCTTAATTATTGATCTTCCTGGTTGTGATCCAGGGGCCTGAAGGCCTAATGCAAGCCGTTGGTGACGGTGATGGTGGCGGTGGCTCTACCGAACTGAGCGAGGGGTGCAGGGGGACGACTGTAGAGAGTGGGTCTGCCTCTTCCTTGCCTACTGGGCTTTGGTGCGGGAAAGAGCTTACTGGTGGACTGGTCCAGGGATGATGCTGCGCTCTGAGTTGTTATGTGAGCTCTGAGAGGGATTCGGCAGCTGAACACCGTGCTTGTGGTGCAGGAAGACGGACGGGAATTGGTGAAGAAGAAGGAGGAACACTTGACTGAAGACTAGCAACAAATAGGTCCAGAAGCCGGCAGCTGGAGGGACAGTTGCACACCAATGCATTCCAACAGCAGCAGGTGAAGAACAGCACCATGGACTCTCCAACCGCCGAGGGCTACCCGACGGACCAAGGGCCTCCTTTTCCAGCCATGTCGCGGTTGCTGCTCTTCGTCTGCATATGCATTTGTCTTCCACGCGGTAAGACTGATACTGTAGCAGACACTTAGACACGGGTTGCATTTCCATTGAATAGTCTGACACATTGAAGCTCCAGTACTGAACCTTATATCACTAAATCATTTTCTCCTGTTCTTATGTTATTTTAAGTGCTTTCGCTTGTCTTCATATGCACTTATCTTGGTTAAATTAAGTCAGTAAGAGAATAAAGCTCCAATGTAAATATAATAAGATAATACGGTGTGATTTCAAACACTTACGTTAGGATTCAATCTGCCATTGAAGTTATTCACAGTCATGAATCCTTGCTCTCGCTTAAGTACTTAAGAATGAGCCTTTTTTGATATAATATTTGTTCCTTACTGCATGAGAACTTTGTTGCCCTTTTGAAAAGACAGCAGTTGCAAAGGAAATGACTGATTCTGTTGGAGACAGCAGCGTGACTTCAGCCACCTCTGTCGATAAATCAGTGTCGTAAATATTCACATGTGAAGGACGTTTTCAGCTGTTGCATTCAAGATTTCAGCGGATTGGTCTTAAGCTGTTCATTTGATGAATGATGATCCCCTGTGTTTAGAAACGTTATGTTTCGAAATCTAAACAATATATTGCGTCTATTACTTTATTATCTATTCTTTCTTATTTATTAATCTAATGAAAGAATAACGAAAATATATCTTAACATGTAACAAACATCCGGAAGTTATAGTCGCACAAATATTTTATTTGCTGTCGTTACCTTGTCGCATGTTTCTGGTATATTTGTTGAAATATTTCAGAAATTTAATTTTGGGAAGTTTAATTTAACTAATACGTCTGTAATATAACGCATGCGTTTTCCATGTCAGACGGTGAATTGGTCATTATTTTGAAGAATATCAGTGTTACCTCATCTTTGCTTCTCATTTTAATGTTCTCTTCATAAATCTATACCTACTTTCTTATCGATGTGTTCTGTTGAAAACGTCATCATTGGCACATTAACATTTTATATCTGTGATACCTAAGAGTTTATGTTGTGTACAGTTGAGTCTAAAAACAATCGATTTATTTGTTAAAGTTGTATTATTAAACTGCATGGCTCCAAATAATCAATCTTAGGCGCACTTAAGTGTGAAACTATTTAGATCTTCTATTTTTGCTTCGAACAATGTATTTTTCATATTTAGAATCAGCAACTTCCACTTCAAACGAAAGAGATACCTCCATGGTTTATCCTCTGTTCGGTGTACACCACCGGTTCTGAACCAGGAGTGCAGATACGTCCAGGTGATACGCTACGACGTGAAACCTAATAAGGTGGACTATATTTCAGACTCTGTCAAACATATCAAAAGGGCATAAAACGCCCTATTACGACCCTTTCAACAAATGAAATAAATAAAGTTCGGTTAAATAAAATCGTCTCCATGAATTCTGTTTTTAATACACAATGACACTAGATTGAGATAAAAATTAGTCGCCCATAAAAAGAGAGTGTACATAAATTTTGAGATTACGTCGACTGGAAAGCTGCAAAAACTTCACTGCACACTATTGAATTCGCCCAGAATGCATTGATTATCCTATGCGACGTATGGAGAGAACTCACACAGTGGTAAAAAGTTCGTCGGAAATGAGACCTGCCTTTTGAGGTAGACACAGAGCGAAGTATAGAGACAGTCACTCAGCAACAGATCATAACAATCGATCCTACCGTTCTGCTCAAATACACAGAAGCCATGAGAGTGGCTATGAAATACCTGAGGTCATTTTCTTTACGGCAATAACATCGGAACACATCCGGTATGCGGTCAGTTGTCATCTATTTGAGGGGTACAGTCACTCTTAGTTGACATAACTTAGAACTACCAACATGCAACAAAGCATCGAATTGAAATAATGCAACATGCCGGCAGTATTTTAGTTTATTCAAAGTTCGAGTAATAATCAGTGCAATAAGAAGTTTATCTGCTCGTAACTAACTAACTAACTAACTAACTAACTAACTCCATGGAGCACAGTACGAGTACTTTGCAGAAGCTGTTGTTCAGATAATAAAAATATAACTTGCCTATAATATAAGCCGAATATTCGTTCTTGTTCAGTACAGCTCAATGCTGAAACCTCCCATCCTTCTTTAAGATACATTTTAATAATATCCTCCTAGGTCGCCCAAGATATCTTCATATTTTTGTGCTGAAAACTTTATACACATCTTCATCTTTCCCATGCACACTACATGTCCCCTCCACTCTTACTAGCAACAATAGAAAGACTGATAAGAATGAATAAACAAATTATTTGTTGAAACGTGGAAGAAATCACAGTGCAGATTATAAATAATCCTACTCATGTTCACGTTCCCGTATTTGTAAATGCCTTTAATTTTAATAGCACGTCCCTGTTGAATTGTGATGTTTCTCAACTAAGTTGATATAAAAATTGTATATTTCTTTACCTAGGTCATGATTATCTGTGCTTCGCTTCTGTTTTGGAATTTGATCGTAGAATATAATGATGGTTGTTACGCATTCTTACGCAGTTGAAAACATAAGTTAAAGTATAATCACTTCCCTTGTCCGACCTGACAGCGACGCGTAAAAGTTAAGTTGGTTGGGATATTGTGTTTTGATAAAGAAGGACACACCTTTGACTTTCTATATTTATTTAGTGCGAGGAAATAGAAAATTACCGGCTTAAATGTTATAACTTACGTCTTTAAGTTTATATTCGTGCTGTAGCAGCATTTTCTGTTCCCTTCCATCGCCCTTAATATTCTCTGCAGTAAATGTTGCAGCACTTAGCAGCCCGACTTATGTGTTAGCTGCATCATCACTATTAACACTACCGGCATCTCCCTCGTAATCCCTCACCCCCCACTTCGGTTACGGGTAAAACAGATCACTTTTGTGGAGATATTATTAAACCCCAACATCCCTTTAAGTTTAGGTGCTGCATCTCTTTGGAACTCAACATATTCCTTTTCAGTTTCGTTTATAATTTTGTTCTACATATTCTGTCGACGAAAGGCTGTCCCGTGTACAAAACGTAATGTTCTGTTTGCATTAAAATTTGTTGAGTTGCGGACCGACTGTTAATTCCATAAGAAGTACTACATACAATGGAGTTACTTAATTATACTTAACTCTCTACGTATCTTTTACAGCCGAAATGCAACATTATACATAGAACAAAATTTATCAGGCAATTGAATTCTCTTGTCCGTAATTGTCCACTGAACGCGACAATCGAGTGGTTAACATTCCTGCTTTGCAGTCGAGATATCCTGGGTTCAAATCTCTCGCCGGAGAGAGAGTACATTGACTATAGGAAAATTCCGGTGCAGTAGGAAGTAACAGCCACGTCCTTCCACATCCTGCATAATTAATTATTTACTACTCATCCTACCATTCGAAGCAAACAGTCACGGGTACTACTGAAGTCCTTAAATAAACAGGATCTCATGGTTGATAACTTGGTACCATTTCATAATGTTATGATAGCAAGTAAGGTAAAAAGTAAGGTTATCCCTGTAACAGGCCGCGGAGGCCCATAGATTTGTGAGACGTCGAGGCTCACACATTTTTTCTAGACAATCGGCTCACAGATGGCTGTGTTTGTCAGCCTTACGCGCCGGCTGTCCGCCCTTTACGGCTCAGGAAGATTCATGATACTCATTTGTGTTAGAGGCTGAGTCGACATCAGAGCCATAGTGCGGCTGGAAGAAATAAGTCAATGGAAAAATCCAGTGACCTCATCGGGAATCGAACCCGCTACCTTCCGGCTTGTAGTATAGTGCCTCAACCAACTACGCTACCGCGTGCCCCCTTTGTTACATGAAGTAGTTTAGAACCTGAAATTATATTGTTAATTGGAGCTTGTAACTGTTTTTGATACCGAGTGTGTGCATCCTATTTTATGCTGTTCCACTTACGCGGTTTGTGTCTGTTACTACTTGCATTTACTCAAGCGTTGGTATGTTTGATAGCCTCCGGGACGCTTCTGATTTCTGACAGGTTGTCACGTTTTCTATGACTCGAGATCAACCCTAGTTAGAAAATAAGTTGTGCTGTACAAATAATTTGAAACTATTGGCATATTTATAAAATGTTACACCACGTTAGTTTAATCTTCTGGTATTAATTACTTTTAACTGAAGGATGTAGCACTCCAAGTAATGAACTTAGAATACACCGCTATTTTCAGTTTCTTCCTCTTTAGATATTGATATTTCCTTGGAAGATAATTGACGAGTAATATTGTTCCCTTTTCAATAATAAAAATCGAGATCTTTCTGCCACAGACTCCTATATTTATATTTTACCCTGGTCCAAAAAAATATGAATGTATGCAGGTGATACGTGTTGCTTAACCTATACTGCGGCAGCGCTTTTAAACACAAGTTATGTTTGTGGATGAAGTTTGTGCCAGAAAGGATGTTGCAATTCATATTAACACATATGTGTGCTGAAAAATTTGTTTCCTTGTTCTAGAAATATTATGTAAATAACGTGCCAAGAATAAAATGTGCAATCTTTGATCATGAATCATATCATTTCTTAATTATTTATTTCTGACCTACTTTCATAATATGAAGCTAAATCCAGCATTCACGTTCTTCTATTAATTATGCGTATTTTAATTTACTATTCATAATTTTAGTAATGTATTTAAAATTATGCTAATTTTGAAGATCACGAACGAAATATGGCAATGTACATATTGATGTTTAACAGGTTTAAACCAAAGGCGGTCATCTAACTTAACAGAGTGAAATAACCAGAAAGTATATTTTCTTGCAATACGAGTATATTCAGTTCGAATAGATTTTATGCTTAAGAGTATTTAACGTGAAACATAATTGCATTATCCAACCATATGATAAAAAATGAAATGTGGTGAATGCAAACTGCAATTTTAATTGCAGTTGAATCCTGTAATTTATAAAGCGTTCTCGACTTAAACGTGAACTTTGTTTCAATTCAGAACAGTCACGATACATAAATGTGATTGAAATTAGACTCATTACGGACTAACAT